CAAAATAGGGGAGCTCCCCCCCTTCAGGTCACTCCCCTGCCCCTGTGGGAAAGCTGACACCTGATGACGTCAGCCTGGTGATGCAGTTCCGGCGTAATTGTCTGCGAGCACCTCCCCCACCCCCAGCAGCCCGGGGGCGGAAGTGAGCACCTTGCGCGGGGCACGCCGGGAAAAGCGGACGCCATCTTGGCGCGGGGCAGGCCGGGTAAGGCGACCGCCATCTTTTTGCCGCGCTGCGCGCGCCCCACAGGAAGCCCCGAGCTGGCGAAGTAAATGCCTGCCTCGCTTCTCGCCCAGGTTTCGGAGGGGCTGGCGTCCTCCCAACGCAGACGGCTCCCCTCTATTTCTTCGAGTGTCCGGGCAGTCCGGCTTTCCCCCGAAACGAGCGTTTAGCTCTTCTTTTTCCCCGCCTTTTCCATCAGGCAGAGCTCCGGGCACCCCTCCGCACGCATGAAGGCCCTTCCCAAGATGGCGGCGCGTCGGGGAAGCCCAAGAAGGTCGGAGCGTGAGTGCGCGTGCGCGGCGGGGAAGAACCATTCCGTTCGGGGAGGGCGCGGGCGAGACCATTGCTCAGCACCGCGGAACTTGCAGGCCCCTTGGCGAGGAACGAGCTGGAAGATACCATGTGTGCCTGGCCGGGGGGGGGCGGTGTTAGTTGTGGAAGGGCTCATTATGCTTCCGGGCGGATAGGAAGTAACCATTGACTGTAACTATTCATTTCCTGTCGGGGCGTGCGCCGCCCCTCCCTGGGGGTCACCAGGATTCCGGGTTTTCTCTCATCAAAAATTGCAAAGTCTCCTATTAAACAACTGCAAATTCTACGATAAAAAATTGCAAAGTCTCCTATTAAACAATTGCAAATTCTATGATAAAAAATTGCAAATTCTCCTATTAAACAATTGCAAATTCTGTGATAAAAAATTGCAAATTCTCAATATTACAAATTGCAAATTCTGTGATTAAAAACCCCAAATCCGTGATTAAAAAGAAAGATAGATAGATATATATATATATATGTCTCAGTTGAACACAACGTTTTCTTGATATATTTACCATTTGGAAGCAATCTGGAAGCCTACCCGTGCCATATATCTATAATAAAATACATCCTCAGTACCTATACATTTTGGTATTTGATCTTGGGGTTTTTACCATGGCAAACCGGCGCTCCCCGCGCCCCCTCGCTCACCGGGACGCAGGTCCAGGCCTCGCCGTGGCAGGGTTGGACGGAGCCAGTCGAGCAGGGCGCAAGCCTGGCCTGGAGGGGCCACGCACCATGTTGCAGAGGCCGGTCGCGCCGCCCTGCACCCTCCACGCCAGGCACGGGCACCCGCGCAGCCCAGGCACTCGGGCCCACCCTGCTCCTGGGGGGCCCTGTGCACCCCAGTCAAGGGCCGGGTGTCAGCACCAGTCAGGCCTTGGCCCTGCTGCACAGTCGAGACCTGGGGCCAGAGGCACCCCACAGAGCAGACAAGGGTCCTTGGCTTGCAACCCACCTGCCTTCCCCATCAGAGGTGCAGCGAGCACCCCCTTCCCGAGCCACCTGGAAGCTCCCCGCAGCCTAGCGCAGAAACGGCCGCGCTGGCAGAGGGGAGGGTGCTGGGCGCCCCGCTCACGAGACTGTTGTGCCCAGGGGTGGCCTCAGGGAATGGGCTGTGCTGTGCTGGCACCTGCTCTGTGCACGGGGTTTGCACCGATCCAGCCACAAGCGCAAGGGGGCACGTCTGGGTGTTTCAGAGCCATTAAGGACGCACGTATTCCCGCACACGGTGCCCTTCCCACACGCACCCTTTCCTGTGTAGTTGCAGGAAACAGCTGGAAGCCCAGCCAGCCCAGGGACCTGTGTTCCTGCGGGGCAGCACCCACATCCAAAACCCCAGGCACGTGCAAATGAACTCTAAAAATACCGGCGGCAGGTGCCAAACTTCACCCATGTCAGACTCGGCCCCACTCCGATTGCGGGACGCAGCTGGAGAGCAAACAACACGGGTCACCTGCGGCGGGAACTCGGGCCTCGTCGGCAGCTCTGCAAGATGGCTCCTCCTAAAAGTGCCACCTCTTCATTTTCTGACCATAGAAACATCGGAGCAAGTCCCCTGGGGCCAAGCACTCAGAAAGAGCCACGGGTTGCTGCTCTGCAGGATGGCTTCGATGCACGGGATGCTTCCTGTTACAGTCTGTGGGTTTCTCTTGTTTTCACACCTGGCACTGCAGACACTGCTGCCCTGAGCTCCTCTAGCCTGCAAGCTTCAGGTCTGGGACTGAAACAGATTGTGATAAACCGTTTTTAATTTCGTGTCTCGGCCCAATCAGCCAAGTCAGGTCCAAATCCTATCGCCTGAGCAGAGCTCAAGGGTTCAGGTCTGTGTGGCGCTACCACCGGCAAGTCTCCTCCTGCCCAGCCTCTTCTGGCAGTCCCAAATCCACGGCAGGCATCCCATGTGCAAGCCCCAAGCCAGAAGGCTGCAGGGTTCAGATGCCCTCGAGTATCGCTTGCCCCCAGCCAAAGGCCATAGGAGCAAGTGCAGGAGCCAGGTGTGTAGCTACAGCAGACTGGAGGTCCGCACCCTGCACCACACAACACCATCCCAGGAGATCTGACCTTGGCAGGGAAAGCCTCAGGGGTGACCCTGGTGTCTCCCCTGCCAGGGAAAGCCGCTGGGGCCAGGGCAGTGACTCGTTGGACTGGACAGTGGAGCCAGATTCCCACACCACCCTGCCCCACCTGCCCGCATTCACCACCGGCCCCCACCACAGCCGCAGCAGCCAGAGCCCCGCTGCCACCCCAGCCACGCTGACAGTATCCTGGGGACACGGAGACCGGAGGATCCTGGGACTCCTGGTGCCAGGGCTTTCTTGAGGTCGCCGCAGGCCGTGAGCCCAGCAGCAGCCGCAGGAGCCACAGTGGGGAAGGTAGATGCTGGGGCTATTGCAGCCCTGCCGGAGAGTTGCACCGTCCTGAGCCCACTGCTCTGACCCCCCGTTGTCTGCAAGTCCCCCTGTGCTTTCACCGCTGCTGCATCACAGGGGTGCTTCGGCACTTACTACCGTGCCCTGCCCCTGCATCCCAACCTCACCAGGGCATGCATAAGGTGATGGCAGAGGCATTTATACCCCAAGTCACAGGTTTGGCCCTGGCTGGGTCACCCCACACCCAGGGGGCTGCCTGTCCCACCCAGGGTGGTGCTTTCATTGGGTGGGACACCCTGGGTGGGACGCTTTCACTGGGTGGGACACACAGTGTCCCCAGGGGTGGGGGCAAGCCCATTGCACCCCTTGCCCCGAACCCCTCTGCCCAGAAGGGCTGGGAGGATGCTACAGATCTCTCCACGGGAAGTTCCCCTCCTGCTCCTACACCTCCTGTATCTTCTGCGGGAGACATCTATCTTTCCCTTGAGACACCCACAATTGAACTTTAGATTGCTTGTCTTCACCGGTTAATATATTTGTCATTTAATTTAAGCCCCATGTTTGTATTGATCCTGCGAATGCCAACAAAGATCCTATTTGCTGTGCTTCCTAATGACGCCCTTTCGTTACGCCTGTTGCTTGCTGCCGTTAAACATTCGTCTTCAAAATCAGTTTGACACCACCCTTCATTCAAAATGCCCAAGCAAAAGATGTCCTTCAACCCAAAATGGTCGAAAGAACTCGATGTCATAGAAAGGGCGAGAGCATCACGAACATCGCTCCTAGAGCTGTGAGTAAACATTTAACTTTTTGGTAGTCTTTATAGATGTGGTTATTATGAATTAGCACTAAATTTAGTAAAAAAAAAAATAAATCACAATGCACTAAATGCAACTGTCCTCTACTCTTGAGGTACCTCGATGGCCACCCTAAGTGAAGGGAGAGGCCGGTCCTGCTTGGGACTGGGACCCGCGGCTATCGGAGCATGCTGTACAGGGCGACGAGACAGCGGGAGGTGGGGTGGAGAGCCACGTGCAGACACATGAGCGTGCGTGTGGATGCACAGCAAGCTGGAGGAAAACCCTCCTCTTTGAGCGGGCCTTCACCACTAGCAACGAGGATGCAGACCTGTCTGGGGGACTTGCTCTCCTCTCTGTGCCCTCGGGCTCTTGTGAGCTGTTTTGGCCTCTGTCACTCCCCTGCTCCTCAGTCCCTGCTGTCTCACTGCCAGCTGATGGCACCACTCAAATAAGTCAAGTAAATAGACTCATTGGACCCTGCTAGATGTTGCACCCTGCCCCGGATGCCTGCTAGATGTTACGTGTGCGACCCCAGGCCAGGCGCTGCAGACAGGAGAGTGCACCAGTGAGGAGAGCAGCAAGGTAAGGGGCTTTGGCGACACTGGGAAGGAGCTGGCCAAGAGATCCTGCTCCTCACCAGCGGTAGCCTCTGCTACTGGACGAGGAGCTGGAGCAGAAGCTGGGGCTGGGGCTGGGACACACCAGGCCAGCCCCTCCCTGGGTCCCCTGCAGACATCACTCCTTCCCCTGAGTCTCCAGGCACCTTGCAAATGGACACCTGGCCCCTCTCAGGAGCCCTTCCTCACCGCTAGCAAGGCACAGAGTTGAAAGTCCCCAGTCCCTGGGTGGATTTCACCCCAGCAGCTCTGTATAGCACCACCTTAGGCCCAGCTCTGGGCAAGAAAGCATGGGGCAGTGAAAGCACCAGCCCATGCAGCCAGCAGTACAAGTCCTGGGGCGACAGCTCCCAGACAACCCCTGCCATTGCTATAGCTCCTTTCCCTTGCATCCCCACTGAGAGCAGCAGACAGCCCAGGCGCAGATATCTCTGTGCAAAGGCAGCTGCTTCCCCAGGTCTCTGGTCTGTCTCTGAAGCGGATGTAGCGGCTCCTGGAGATCACCGAATGGTCTGGCTCCCAGCATGCGTGCAGGGAAGTGGGAGAGGGTCCCACTTCCCGGCCCCCAACCCTAGCTTGCTGCTCTCGGGGAGACCCGAGCCCTGCTCCGGCCAGGCGGGGTGGCCCTGGATGCATTCAGGGATGGAGGGATGCACACCTGCTCCCCGCTGCCCTCGAGTCCCTCACTCTGCTCTGCAGGACCAGTGCTTCCCTCCAACGTATGCAGGGAGCGTGCCAAGACCAGGTGCTCAGGAAGGAGAAGTCCCGCTCTCCCACCTTCAACAGGCGTTGGCAAATGCATGCGTGTCTTCACACCTCAACACAGACAGCCCGCAGCTGTGGCTGGACTCGCCCCATGAGCGCTGAGGATGCTGGACAGCTGCCCTGGAGCAACGTGTCCATGATGGCCCAGCAGAGGCTCCAAGGAACAGCCCCGGGGAGAAACATTTCATGGGGAAAACTTCACTAAACTTCTCCTCCCGAGCCAAACCCCAGAGACGTGCCCTCTCTTCCTAAGGAGCACCAGACCTGCGTGCACCAGGGCTGCACCTAAGCCCTTCAGACTTTGCTGTTGCAGTCAAATGCCCGATTTAAACCTAGTGCAGTTACGGATTGACACAACCCCGTGGTTGATTAATAGCAGAAAGGCTTTAAACACAATACCACAAACAAGGTAAGGGCAGAAAAAGGCTCCTTTTCAATATTCAGTACATGAGCTGCCATCGAAGCCCCGGGGTATTCTAGCTGAAAAAAGTTTCTCTCGCCCATGCAGGCAGGAAGCGGTTTTTGTCTTTACAGCCTTTGCTGGGCACGGATCCGGCACCCGGGAGGTGGATGGCTGGGTGCAGAAGTGATTTCTGATCTCTCGCCCTCCGCACAGAGCTAGAAGCCCTTCAGACATCGCCACCTCTGTAGAACTAGGGGAAAGCCTTGTACCTCCTTTCTCCACCAAACAGGGCATTCGGGACCCCTCGCATTTGCCTCACTTGTGCCTAAACTATTTGTAACCCCCCCCGATGGCACTCCTACAAGGGCTGAGCTCCAATTTGGGGGTGCTGGGCTCAAGACCTCTACCCAGAAGCCTAGAAAACCTGATACTCCTCCCCCATTTGCAAGCTTCCCCCATAGGAACAACTCCCCCGTTTGCAAGCCCCCTAAACAAAGGGAATGGCTTATTCAACTGCAAATGAATAAACTTCCCCCCACCCCAGAGTCTCTTTCACAAGCGGACGAGGTCCCCGGCTCCTATGGAGCAAATGCACTCTGCAAGTGCCCGTTGTCTGGGCCTGGCACCGTCTCCCCAGTCCCAGCTCGGGGGGTAGGGGCATGGCGGGGTCTGGGGGCTGCTCAGAAGCTGAAGGGGCGGTTGCAGCAGCGGGAGGGATCCTGTCCTCAAACAGATCCCACTGCCAACAGACGGGCGCCTTCCTGGCGCCCCGTGACCATGGGAGGAAGATCCCAGCCCAGGCAAAGGATGCAGCCGAGCCATCGCTAGCAGGAGGTTCAAAACAGGCCTCACTGGGGTGGGGATTTGGACTAAAGGACTGCGATTTGGGTAGGTGAGGGTGGAGGGTGGATGCACAGGGGTGCAGGGGATTGGGTGCGTTTATTGTAACGGGAAACGCAGGTTTCTTAATGTGGTTTTAAGATGTGATGGAAAGCTTATGATAGAGGATGTGTGTGTATATATATATATATATATATATATAATGCTTTCTCTCTCTAGAAATATATTGTCATTAAAAAAAATAAAAAGCACACCCTAAAGGCTGCTCCAGCCACCAACACCTTCCAGTGCCCCCAGCCCAAGCCACCCCATTGCTCCCCCACCCTGCTGTCTGCCCCTCTCCAGCCCGTACCACAGCAAGGGGCTTTGCTTTGCAAAACCAAGGCATTTGGAAGGGGCGCATCCGTGCAACGCGTTGCTCTGTGATCCGTCTCTTTCCTCCTCCTCCATGGGACCCGCACGAGTTGGCACAGGCTGCACTGGGCTCTGCTGACCTGTGGGAACAAGACACAGGAGATTTAGGAGCCAGAGTGACAGCAGCACTGGGCGGGCACTGATCTGGCATTCGGCCCTAGCTTGGGGTCACTCCCTGCACTGAGAGGAGAGGAGAGGAGGAGATGCCCCTGTCCCCAGCACTCCCCAGGGCTGGCTTGGAGAGGGACAGGCAGCATCTTCTTTAGAGAGTCCCTCAGGCCAGAGCCCGCCACACTTACCTGGTAGCTGCAAGCCTGGGCTGACCTGCCCCTGCCCCTCTCCCAGGGCTCACGCAGAGGAGGAGGGCATTGCCAGGAGCCCTGTGGCCCCACACATAGAGTTGCGAGCTGCACGGAAGGGAGGGCAAGACCTGACCCCAGCCCAGGAAACAGCACTGCCCCAGCCCGCAGCAGACTGGGCAGGGGACGAGGTAGACCCTCCAGGCCAGGGGTTCACATGCTAAGAGCAGACTCCAAAAAGGAGGTCCCGGAAACCCACCAAGGAGCCACCAAGCTCCTGGCAGGGCCAGGAACGGGGGGCACAGACAGCACCAGCAGGACGAGGGTCCCTCCCCAGTGTGTCTCTTCAACCTTCAAACCCTGGAGGGGTTGGGGGGGGGAGGGGGTGACAGACCCACAGCAGAACTGCCTGGCTCCCAAGGCAGGTTCCTGGGGCTGGCCCACAGGATGCCACCCCTTTTACCTCCTGCCCCAGGCTGCAGCAGCCTCTCCCCTGAGTCAAGTCCTTGCGCTGACACCCACTGGAGGCGTCCAAGGCGTCGCTAGCTGATGGGAGAAGGAAGAGGAGGTTAGAGCTCCCTGAGCACAGGGACCGGTGGTCCCAGCGACACGCATGTCCTGCCAGAAGGAATCACCAGATGCCATGGTGATGGGTGCCCTTGTGCACGGGCAGATCAGTGCACGGGCCAGTGGGGCCCGGGCCCCTGGGGACGCGTGGGTTTCCCCTTGCAGGGGGCAGCATTCGAGCCTGCAAGGGGCTGCTGGGAGCGAGATGCAGGGGGCACCGTGTGCCTGTGCATAAGGCCTGGCACACAGCTGGGCAGCGTGGAGAACAGCTCCCTGCACGTAAGTGTATGGGGGGAAGGGACGCGGTGGGGGCAGATTGAGGCCCCCTTGGCAAGGGAGGGAGTGGGGAAGGGGCTGAGGACCCAGGACAGAGCCACAGGCCACTTGTCCAGGAGGTGTGTGTGTGGGGGGGGGGGGGGTGGCTTCCTGCTGTTGTGTGCACCCCCAAGGGGAGGAAAGGAGCGGGGCATGTGCCTCCCCCCAGTTGTGTGCAGGGCGGATGCAGGCTGCTCACTGTGGTCTCTGAGCTCCCCGCTCTGCTGCCTTTGCCCTGGGGACCCTGCGTCGGCTGTGTGCCCCCTGCCCGCCTGGCAGCACTGGGAGGGCACACATTCCCCATCTTTTCTCTGCCGGGAGGCAGACATCAGAGACTGCAGCAGCTTCCACAATTGGGGAGGGCTCTGACCTGGGGCCACAGCCCAGAAAGGAGCTGCCTGCTCAGCATGGAGCCATGTGGTCAGACCGGGATGCAGAGCAGGGACACCCCCACCGGGGAGGTGGATGGAGGTGTGGGACATGGTTCACGTGGAGCCCGAGAGCAGCCCCCGGGAGCCCGCAGCAAGGCAGACTTGCAGCACTAGTGCTGGGGTCTCACTGCAGCAGCACATGGACCTGGGAGCCCAGAGCAGCTGGAGAGTGCCCCGTCCCCACGCCACCCGGTCACGGACACGGGGGTGATGAGCCCTCCCTGCTTCTCCTGCCCTAAGGCCTGGGCATGGACTGGCCCCAAGGGCTTCACCCAGCAATTACTGGGGAAGTAACCAGCTGCACTTGCCACTGCTGCGATTATTATCACAACAGCGATAAGGACTCGGCATCGGTTTGGGCTCAGGCTCTAAAAGAAGGAAGGGGGCTGTGAGGAAAGGCAACCCCCAGACCTGCCCCTACCACTACAGGGGCCACATAGCCCCCTCCCAATTAGCCCTCCCCCCCAAGCAAGGTCAGGCAGCCCGTCCCTCCACTAATGCCCAGGGTCTCCTATCTCCTTGTGCGGGGGTCACTCACCCGTCCTGTTCTTGTCCAAGGACCTTCTCAGGGCTGCACCCAGGCTCATGTACACCTTCCCTCTGCGCCCCCATTTTGCCCACAGCCCCGGGCCTCTACTTGCTCAGCATGGAGTAGGGCACAAGGGCTTGTGGACAGCAGGTTGCAGAGGATGTTTGCAAGCAGCACTGAGGGGTGGGAGATAACAGGGACACAGGGAGCAGGCAGGGCAAAGGAGAAAGCACCTCCCTATGGCAAAAGGGAGAGCGTGGGCCGCAGGGGAGAAACCTGCAGTGGGCAGAGATGCGGTCCCCCTTTGCGGGAGCACAGGGCAGGGCAGGGCTGCAGCCAGACCCTGCAGCTGGCAAGGCGAAGGGAAACATCTTGCCTAGAGACCTTTGCAAATCTGATTTTAAAGCCCTGCTTCTGACCCATATCCAATATGACAGAGCTGGACCTGAGCTGGCATTAGCAAGTCTTCTTACCTGTGGACTGACAAGGCCCACTTTAGGAAAACCTGCAGCCCAACCCTCCCCTCCTTGAGCAGGCGGGGGTGTAGCAGGGCCGTCTCCCAGGTTAGCCAAGAAAAAGTAAAAGCTTCCCCGGGGGAAGAGGTGGGGAAAATGAGGAAGGAAATGCAGCCTATCCCAAGCCCCAGCTGGTGACATCCACATGCTGCAAAACCAAGCTGGCCTTAAAACAACTGGCTTTTACACACCCACTTAGCTGAAGAGCTTGTTATTAAGTGGTTTGCTTCCTAGCTGGCTGTCTCCTTAAAAAGGATTCCCTTACTGGCAAATCAGACACAAAACATAGCGAGGCTTACTCCAACCTGAGCCTTACCTGAAAATATTTTTTTTTCTGACTGACTCCTGAACTTCAAAATGTGAATTAGTTCACCTTCTGACCCGAACCCGACTCACTTTGCAGTTCACTTGCAGACCACTGCGGGAACCGGCCTGACGCAGGACTCTGATCTGGTCCTCTCGCCTGCCTTGCCTGGTGCTTGACACCAAGTAGCCCACATCTCCCCCCGACACGGGGCTGAGAGCTGCCTGGATTGGAGGTGGGTGGCAGGACCCCCCCTTGGGGCAAAGTTGCGGCAGCATGACCCCACTCAGGATGGCAGAGAGGGTTTGGGGGCCACAAGGGCACCAGGGGCCCAGACGTCTGGAACAGAAGCAAGGACCACGCAGGGCTGGGAGCATGGATTTGGAGGGAATGGGTTTGGAGGCCACAAGGGCAATGAGATGTTCACTCCACATCCCTGCTCCCAGGCCTGCAGTCCTTGTTGCCCTGTCCCAGACATCTGGAAGAATGGCTCCCTGCACCTGGTGACACGTGCTCGGGGCAGGGCTCAGGGTGCTCTGTGCATCAGGAGAGGGCACAAGCTGGGGCTGGCGAAACTGGCCCAGGCTGGAAAGCAGAGAGGTGCTGCACAGCTTCCCTGCAGAGCCCCAGCAGTGGATGCTGCAGCTGCGGGACTGGAGGTGCTCCCTAGGGCTGTGCTCCTAAACCTGCCGCCCCTTCCCATTTCACCTACAGTCCCAGCCTCTGGTTGGTCAGCATCCTCCGGGCACAGTGGGCTGTGTCTGAGCACCAGAGCACAGGGCACGAGGCCCCAGGGAGGTAGGTTGCAGAGGATGTTTGCAAGCAGCACGGGGGGGTGGGAGATGGCAGGGACACAAGGAGCAGGCAGAACTAAGGAGAAAGCAGCTGCCCATGGCAAAGTCTGCAGTGGGCAGAGATACGCTCCCCTGTCCTGGGAGTGCGGGACCAGGCAGGCCCCCTCCCCTGTGTGGGATGGGGAAGGGCAGGGCAGGGGGACCTGCAGCTTGTATAGGGGGTGGGGGGATCTGACCCCTCTCCTGGCTTTTCTGGTGCCTGACACCAAGTCGCTCACCAGTGCCCTGGAAGGGGGCAGCCCCCCTCTCCCCCACACATGGGGATGGGGGCTTTGGGGTGACTAGGGGGCCAGGACCCTTCAGGGGCTGGCACAGTCCAGGAGGGGAGAAGGCACTTGGACGGAGGCACTTGGAGCCGCACAGTGGGGGTGGGCAGCACAGCCCAAGGCAGCCCCAGCCCCACAAGGAGCTCTAGGTGGGGGGGCAGTCTCTGCTCCTGCCCCTGGACACCTCCCACTGGTCCCCTCTGGGCCTCCCTCCTGACCGGGGCGTCTCCGCGCGGGGACGGCAGGATGAGCTGCCTGCCTTGATGCAAGCTGCACTCCTCTGCCCCTGCCCCGGACCACTCCTGCTTGTCCCAGGAGCTCTTCCACGTCCTCAGGTCAGAGGGGCTGTCTGGGCTGGAGTCAACGAGGGGCCCAGAGCCCCTCCTGAAGCATGGGGGTTGCAGAGGTCTTTTCACTCCGGTGCCCACTTACGCCATGACAGGGGCAGGCTGGCGTGCACAGAGGTCTCGGGGACTGGCTGGAGCAGGCTCATGCACGGGGGGGTCATGCACACGCCTCCTCTCTGCTGCGTCAGAGCTGGCAACACGGCCCTGGCAGACTCTTCTTAGGAAGGCAGAGTGGGTTTGGAGGCCACAAAGACCAACCTCAGACACACCTCACCTGCCACTCAGGGACACTGAGATGCTCCGGGAGGGCTCAGGGAGC